ATGGGTGCTGGCCTGTTCCTGGCGGCTGCTCAGCGGGGCCTGGCCCCCCAGGGACCGGTTTGGGCTCGCGCCGGAGCGCGGGCAGACGTGGGGCCTCGGGTCCCAGTGCCGGTTCCGCTTCAGGGTGGCTTGATGCTGGTGGGGGCCGTGGACTTGTCCCCGAGGCTCCTGGGGGCTCTGGCATTATTGTGGCTGGTGCTTTCCTCAGGGCTGTCTCTCCTCCTCCCTTGGTGGGGGGTTGGATTTTCCTGGATTGGCCCCTCCTCTGCTCCTTTGCTCTTGGGGTCCCTTTGGGCTTCTGGGGCCCCCGGGCTCCCCTCTGTGCTCTGGAGGGAGGCGTCTTCGGCTCTCCACAACCGCTATTTTTCCTTTGGATGAACTTTACATGCACAAGTACACTCTAACAACAACTTGCTTGGTTCCCGGTACTCAGATTTACTTGCACACAGAAAGCCCATGTTCTTATCTTCAGCTACCACAGTATATATGTGTGATGAAATAATACTACTTATACTGCAGCGATAGTATCAAGATGCTACTTTATTGTATCTCTTATTCTATATCCGTTGGTTGTAATGTTCTTTTTACATTTCTTTGTAGGTGATGAAGCAGACTGAAGATGCTTTATTATCTCCCTTTTATCTCCTCTTTTTTCTCCTTTCATCTTTTCTCCTTTCTTTTTTCTTTTTTTTTTCTCTTCTTTCCTGATCTATTTCCATTGCAGTGTCCATATAATCTGTAATATTCCCTGTGCGAATTAAAATAAAGCTATTTACATGCATTAATCAAGCGGAGCACTATGGCGATAGCAATACTGCTTCACTTGTGAGAGCAAAATCTGTTGGGCTCTCCTTTTGGCATCAACACAATTATTCTTATTGCCAAATCGCCAGACAGGACATTGTAAAATAATAATAAGAGCGAGCAAAGACGTATTTCTGCACAAGCGTAGCTGCAAGAGTAGAGTTTGTCAGAGTTGCTCCCGCAGTATCGCACCATGCCGGTTTACTTTCACAACCGGCACTGCCATGGTCTGTGGTTATGCAGAATGTGGACCGTCGCATGGACCGTGTTTTCCTCATCAAAGATCCATGTTTAGCTCATCAATTATCGTCACAAACAAAAAGAGCATCAATTAAATAATTTGTTCATCGTTGACGAAAACAACACTGATCTACAACTGCATTAGCAGAGTTTTCTGATAGCTGAGAGTTCAATATGTTTCAATGTAACTTTTAAAAGTTCAGTAAATAATGCTCCAATGCTCACTAAGTTTATAACATAAAGTTTCAGGATAAATTTTGTTATAAAACAAAGCTTCAAATGCGTCCTGGATTCATGTTCAGACCTGAGAGTTTCCAGTTTGCAGTGTGGACTCTTCAGTCCAGAAGACAGCAGCTCCACTCCAGAATCCTGCAGCTTGTTGTTACTTAGATCCATCTCTCTCAGATTAGAGTTCTGGGAGCTGAGAACTGAGGCCAGAACTTCACAGCTTCTCTCTGAGAGGTTACAGTCATTCAGTCTGAGGAGACATAGAGAGAAATGAATAAAACAAAAACAAATGTATATTAAACTGAACAGATGAATCAGTTGTATAAAATAAAGAAAATCTAAGAAACTCTTGGGATAATTATCATTGAAGATTTGTGAGTTTATCACACCCTAGTATGGGCTGCCTGTTGTGCGTCAGAACTTATGTTTAAATCTAATTAGGACAATTGCTCTGTCTGGATATACAGTTATAATCTTCATTTTGTACGTGGCAAAGATTTGGAAATGGAATGAGAGCGGTGTCCTATTTTCATAAGGCTGGAGCCATGGATGTCTAATCATCTGCTAATGTGTCTCATGTAAAATATCATGATGTTGCAGACTGGAGATGTATAAAATGCCTTTTAAATTGTTAATCAGGGCCACTTCCTAAGAGGTGAGCCCAGAGGTGAGCAGCTGCCATTCTGCATATTTTAAGCCATTTCTATGATCTGAGTAAGATTACATTTTCTATCAAAATCTGTTGTCATGTCTCCTGGTTATTTAAAATATAAAAGTTATGAAGTGTTATTTAAAGTTTGTCCTGAATGATCTCTTTATCTATAACACAACTCTGAAGCAAAGCAATAAATGTCAAAACCCTGAGGCAGATAGTATGTGATGGAGACAGCAGGTAATAACTGGACAAAGAGGTGTTAAAGTGCTGCACTTATGTGTGTACATTCGAGTGTTAAAGTTAAGGCACACAGTCGGGGGAAGAGGATAGGGTTATTGTGGGTTAAAAATGAAACAATGTTTGACACTCTTAAAATACACTTTTAGAGACAGAAATACGACATTTGGCAAAACAGTATATACTGTAAAAATATATAGATTTCGGCTGGGTAATTTTTTTGTTTAAAAGAAAAATG